ACAGCTGTATAATATCTCAGGTGGTCCTTATTCATCAGGGTCATCTCAGTTTGGGGTTTGAGGAACATGAAACAAATCAAGAGTTACAAAGTGAGGGAGGTGGGCTTAATGTTCTTCAGTTACATTATGTGTCATGTTGGATCCAGTCTTTCTGGAGCTAAACCAAATACTCAAGACTAAAAGTCAGAATGACTCAGCCTCTGCTGAAAATTCTTTTCAGGACCTTATAAATCCCCCAACTTTATTGAAGTAATACTGAACAACTGGACAACACATCTACCCGTGCCTATCAGGTCAGCAGTGTAAGTAATCTTGGAGTGCCAGAACTTTTGAGTAGTTCCATTAATCCTTCGTCTACATAAAATTCCACTTTTGTCTGGCAACAATTTGCATCCACACTAGCATTTCCAGTTTACTTTTGTAGAGACCTGTCCACAGTTAAACACGTGAAAAACATCAAATCTGTTATATCTCCTTTTTTTCACCCTTTACACAATTGGCAAACAACAAAACTGAGAGCAAACATCTCGTGAGAAGTGAGGAGTATTTGATTTGCTAACCTGACTCCTCCTGCTCACCATGTATTCCTCCCTCTAATAATGTATTCCACCTCTCCTCCACAAGGCGCCTGGTAATGCTGTGCACTGTGTCTGCGTGCACCAAAATTGCAAAACATTTCTGAACCCACCCATATGGGCCTTGTGCCTGGTGTTTAGACACAAGTTTAGCGTTGCGCCCTGTTGCAGGCTAATAGAGCCGCAAGTCTGTGTTTTAAAGGTTGTACAATCTAGAAGCTGTGTTTGAAAAGCTCCATTTAGTGAGAGAAAATGGTGCTTTAGTCTGAATGGTGGAGAAAAAGATGCATTTACTAATTCACATGGCTTAGAGAGGATGAACTGTAATTTGCCTATAGGCACCCTGTTTTATAAAGTCATTTGGAAACTTCTTAACATTTCTCACCTCTGTGACCATCACATACCAAGGAATACCAATTACTTTTCGTACTGCATCAAATCACTCCATTTCCCAGTGCATCCTAAGCAGACTTCTTATATAAGTGATTTAATAGTGAGGGGGTCTTACCTTGCCAGAGTGAGGCCAATGCCATTATCAGCAAATCTAAACAAGAAAGAGGGAATATTATCACAGTGAGTAATAGTCTGAGGTCTCCAGAGAACAGACCCAGACACACACACACACACACAGGCACACGCTGTCTGAAGGAGATAAAAAGTTATTATTAGATATGTTTGAATTTCTCACTTTTATCTGTCATTAAATGTGGAAAGGGAAATAAAAAAAATGAACCGTGCTACCTGAAACTCATAATGATGATTTTCAAGCTACATTCAGCTATACTGAAAGTTGGCAGACTTTACTCAGACAAACATACAGTACCTTCACTCACTCATTTACTCGGTCAATGTATTTTCAGTTTTGCATTCATGCATGCTGCAACCTACTCACTGGCAGTCATCCAGCCAGACATCCCCTCCTCTCAGCCAGGCTCCGTGGTCCTGGTTCTTATAGGCTACAAAGTGATGGATAAGAGCAGGGACTCTGGGCTTGAGTGGGTCAGCATCCTGGTGGGGACCATACCTAAGCAATACTCAACATATGATAGTGGTCTTCTGAATTATGTGAAATTCACTCATGCACCATCTTTGCTTTTCCTCATCATGTCCTGCATGTGCATGTAGCGTTTCCTATGAATCCCTTATACGTGACTTGGTATTCAAGTCTGGTCCAGGCCTTGAGTCTAGTCTCCACAAGTCCAGTTTATTTTTCTTTACTGTTGTTTGTTTCTGGTTGTTCTTGTAAGAGGACAGCTGCAGATAGTGTGCTTATGGCTGAATGTTGGTGTGTCCTGTCAGGTTACTGTACAGCTACATGTAACTAGAATTGCCACCTGGTGGTTGTCAGACTTACATATAAAATATTTCAATTTGTAGTGAGGTATGATTGACTGTATTGACACAGTCTGTAAGACAGCTTTGTTTCTGAGAAGGACAAGATATCCCAGTTTTAAAGGGCATCACTGATCAGGGAGTAGAGGGTAGTGTGTATTCATACTGAAATGGTGCGATCAGGATGACACACACTGGTCTTTTTCACACTGAGCACATTCTACATGAGTTGATGACCCTCCCTGCTGTTGTTCAAACTGGTTACAAAACATTAACAGGAAACATGACACACTGCAAAACCATCATGTTGAATTACACTGGGTGTGACTTCAGGTTGTTTGTTATGGGTGAGCAGATTGAAAGGGCTGAGGAGGCTGACCTGGCTCCAATCAGAGACAAGAAGGGTCTCTTGTCCTTGTCATTAGCCTGGGTTGTCTTTACTCCATTATCGAGGATCATTCCAGCCTGGAATGGAAAGAAGATAAATGATATGTCACACAGTATAAAGCACAAATGATTCATAATAGGCAATGGAACAAATACATTGTCCTTATGAAACACACTCAGGGATGGGTTTATCAAAGGCTGTAGAGACTTTTGCCTGGTTTCTATTTGAAATGAATAGAAAGAAAGTCACTTTTGGCTTTTCCGATTTAGGGGTTGCCACAGCGAATCGTCACACTGACGACTCACATGTTGACATTTGGCACATGTTTTACGTCGGATGCCCTTCCTGCTGTAACCCTGATTCGAACCCAGGGCGCAGTGGCGAGAGCGCTGCACCTTAACCACTAGCCTAGCAGGGACTTCTATTTGAAATGAATATGAATAGAATATGAAAACACTCAAGTTGCCCTCTAGTTATTAAATTTTTTTATTAACTGAGCTTTTATGTCGATGTGAAACCATTATTTTAGTGTTATTTCATCTCTTCATGCAATGCATGAGTGTAGTTGCACTCATGTTTATTGATTTCAACCAATAAATCAGACTCAGTAGCAGGGCACTCGTACTTTTCTTTTATGATCCTCTGCAGACACACTTTGAACACCCCAGCATCAGGTTTTAATTAGCAGCAGTGCATATGGTTTAAATCAGCTGCAGCTGTTCTCATTTGTATCATCAGTCTGGAAAGGACTGATGATACAAAATGAATATCCTGCTACATTTTGTGGCACTGACAGTGTTTGTGGTAAGTTTAACAATTAAGCTAGATCTACTGACATCTTGCTTCGGTACTAAAATGTAACTGGGTAGCTGCTTCATCTCAAAAATGTTACTTTGTTTTATAATGTGTGGCTTGTGTGTGATAGTATAAAGCAGCATTAAAAAGTTCTTGACCACAACACAGCCCTGCTATTTAACAGATTAAACACATTGTTATGGCTAAGATGTAGGATTATATTACAGGTTTCTGATTTTCAAATAAGTCAGCTAGAAAAAAATAACAGACTTCTAGGTTAATCTGCGCTATCCTAGTTACAACAACAGTTAACCAAACTGATCATCATCATCTAAAACTGAGAAGCTTACTTTCTGTTTAAAAAACTGCAAAGTGGGAAATCTACCAACATTACCACTGTTAATGGTATGTGCAGTGATAGCCTGGAAAGCTTGACAGGAGTAGGAACAGTCATAAGGCAAGACTTGGCAAATGATCAATTACCTAGAAATGCAGCAACACCCTACTGGCACCTCTTTCTGGTCACCATATGAATTTAAGTCCACTGTTCACTCTTCCTTTAGCTCTGGTTTGGTCATCAGAGAAATATGTGGCTCAATAGCTGCTGCATATTGGATTTACTTGAATTGCTACTCTTTTTACATTAACCTACACTTGACTTTTCTTTTTTTTATATGCCATGTACAGTTGTTTTTATTTGGTGAGGGTTGGGGAGAGTTGTTGTTAAGCAGCCATACACTCCATCTGTAAGATGGAAACCTAAAATAATGATGTGAAAACTCTAAAGGCTGCAAAGCCCTGCAAAGTTGCATATAATTCTGAATAGGTTTGGCAACACTAGCAACCCATCCACATAACATGACTCCATTTAAATATTAGAAACATTACTTAGTAGAACTTCACAATAGGGCGAGACACAACATTTAAAGCCAACTGTGATGCATCACTGAGCTGATCAAATCAGTGTCTGCCTCAGATATTACTTAGTAGAACTTTAAATAAAAAAAAATTGGGGCAGCACGGTGGTTAGCCCCGTTGCCTCACAGCGAGAAGGTGCCGGGTTCAGGCCCCACCCGGGACCTTTCTGTGGAGTTTGCATGTGTTTGCGTGGGTTCCTCTGGGTACTCCGGCTTCCTCCCACAGACCAAAGACATGCAGCTAAATTGCCCATGCGTGTGTGGTTGTTCGTCTATGTGTTAGCCCTGCAATGGATTGGCGACCTGTCCAGGGTGTACCCCGCCTTTGCCCGATTGCCGGCCGGGATTGGCTCCGGCCCCACCCATGACTCCGTTCAGGGATTAAGCGGTAGAAAATGAATGAACTTTAAATTGCATAATCAGGCTGGAAACATTCAGTGCAACTTCTATCAAAGAACAAGCTATCCCCAGTTGTTTCAGAGCCCTTAACGTAACAGTATGCAACTTTTTTAGACAAAAAAAAAATCATTTTGATGACAGACCTACATCTAATAAAAAGAATGGCATCTCTCCTGTTGCCACTGCATGCCCCAGTTGTCTGTTACTGCACTATGTAACTGTGGATCACCATCTAGGGGACGTCATTTGATAGCTGCATTTTGCTTTATAGCACCAGACCCTTGCGCTAGCTCAGTATTCTATGATTCTGACACACATGCAGAGACAAATCCCTTTATTGAGCTTTGATATTTTTTCAGGCAAGAAAGTAACCATTTAGATTGTGACTATGTGGTTAGCCTATCTAAGTAATGCCAATTTAAAATTTGCTCTAACGTTTTCAGAGATGTGAGTACTCATATGACCAAGCTACTGTAGCTCTATTAGCAGACAACTACATCTTGCTCAGATCACGATAGTCTGTCAGCTATGTTTCCATTGTCGGAAATTTGCTCTGATATTTTCGGAGCTGGGAGGACCTGCTAGTAAACCAGGCTAAGCTCCTCACCAGGCAGCTACATCTCGTTCAGAGTGGAGTAAACAAGGACATTGGTGTTCCAGTTGCACACTGAGTACTGTGTCCTTTCATTCTCGGGAGTTTGGAGTTTATGAACACACTACAGTCACCTACTGTGATTGTGAACAAGCTGTGTAACAGGACATGGACTACTGCACACACCTAGCAGTATGTAGTAGGTATCACCAGAGCACAGCCACAGCCAGGAAGAAGAGAGAAAGAGAGAGCAAGAGACTGGACAGGAGTAAATACTGGACTGGCTTTCACTTACTGGCAATAAGAGCCAAAAATAACCCTGTCAGGGTTACTATGTTAGCTGTAGAGATCTGCTAATGCAAAAACAACCACAGCAGAGTATCCATCTCTGCTAATGTTATTCATGAAATACTTCATTGTGGGCTGTAACCCTGTTGAAGTCATCCCCTGTCTCAGGGAGATTTGTTGTTTTCCAGATGTAAAAAATCATCTACCTGAATCCCCCAAATAAATACGGTGGGTGCGGAAAGTATTCAGACCCCGTTAAATTTGTCACTCTTTGTTATATTGCAGCCATATGCTAAAATCATTTAAGTTCTTTTTTTTCCTCATTAATGTACACACAGCACCCCATATTGACAGAAAAACACAGAATTTTTGACATTTTTGCAGATTTATTAAAAAAGAAAAACTGAAATATCACATGGTCATAAGTATTCAGACCCTTTGCTGTGACACTCATATATTTAACTTAGGTGCTGTCCATTTCTTCTGATCATCCCTGAGATGGTTCTACACCTTCATTTGAGTCCAGCTGTGTTTGATTGGATGTGATTAGGAAAGCCACACACCTGTCTATATAAGACCCTTCAGCTCACAGTGCATGTCAGAGCAAATGAGAATCATGAGGTCAAAGGAACTGCCTGAAGAGCTCAGAGCCAGAATTGTGGCAAGGCACAGATCTGGCCAAGGTTACAAAAAAATTTCTGCTGCACTTACGGTTCCTAAGAGCACAGTGGCCTCCATAATCCTTCAATGGAAGACGTTTGGGACGACCAGAACCCTTCCTAGAGCTGGCCGTCTGGCCAAACTGAGCTATCGGGGGAGAAGAGCCTTGGTGAGAGAGGTACAGAAGAACTCAAAGATGACTGTGGCTGAGCTCCAGAGATGCAGTCGGGAGATGGGAGAAAGTTGTAGAAAGTCAACCATCACTGCAGCCCTCCACCAGTCGGGGCTTTATGGCAGAGTGGCCCGATGGAAGCCTCTCCTCACCCAGATCGTCAGTTATACCTGCATGGAGTTTGCTAAAAAACACCTGAAGGACTCAAAGATGGTGAGAAATAAGATTCTCTGGTCTGATGAGACCAAGATAGAACTTTTTGGCCTTAATTCTAAGCGGTATGTGTGGAGAAATCCAGGCACTGCTCATCACCTGTCCAATACAGTCCCAACAGTGAAGCATGGTGGTGGCAGCATCATGCTATGGGGGTGTTTTTCAGCTGCAGGGACAGGACGACTGGTTGCAATCAAAGGAAGGATGAATGCGGCCAAGTACAGGGATATCCTGGACGAAAACCTTCTCCAGAGGGCTCAGGACCTCAGACTGGGCCGAAGGTTCACCTTCCAACAAGACAATGACCCTAAGCACAAAGCTAAAATAACAAAGGAGTGGCTTCACAACAACTCCGTGACTGTTCTTGAATGGCCCAGCCAGAGCCCTGACTTAAACCCAATTGAGCATCTCTGGAGAGACCTGAAAATGGCTGTCCACCAATGTTTACCATCCAACCTGACAGAACTGGAGAGGATCTGCAAGGAGGAATGGCAGAGGATCCCCAAATGCAGGTGTGAAAAACTTCCCAAAAAGGCTCATGTCTGTATTAGCTCAAAGGGGTGCTTCTACTAAATACTGAGCAAAGGGTCTGAATACCTATGACCATGGGATATTTCAGTTTTTCTTTTTTAATAAATCTGCAAAAATGTCAAATTCTGTGTTTTTCTGTCAATATGGGGTGCTGTGTGTACATTAATGAGGAAAAAATGAACTTAAATGATTTTAGCAAATGGCTGCAATATAACAAAGAGTGAAAAATTTAAGGGGGTCTGAATACTTTCCGTACCCACTGTAAATTCATCTCAGGCCAGAAAGTTTGGTCACTCTTTGTCACTGTCATGCCAAATAAGCCTTTGAAGTTTACAGCCAAGTTGCTTTAAAGCAAAAGTACTCTTCTGACTTAGAGGAGCGCCACCTCCTTTCCAGTTTTCGTGATGCCTGCTTTAGGGAGTGGAGCTGCGAGCTGTACCATGGGGCCTCCTCTGTTTCACTGCCTTCCTTTTCAGAGGGGCAACAGTATCAAGTAAATTACGCAGGGAGGCTGCAGTACCATCAACAAGATTACTGACTTGTGTGAGAGTAAAGTTAAGGTGGCCTCTCCCCACTGTGTTGGCACATGGCACTGAAATAAATAATGATGGAATTATTTCCTTAAACATCTACTGTAGTGGAGTTGTTTCCCACATAGAGTATGATCCATTAATGTAAATTCAAAAGTTATTAGAAAATGGTCAGACAATTCGATTCAATTCAATTCAGTTCAAATTTTATTTGTATAGAGCCAAATCACAACAAAAGTCATCTCAGGACACTTTACAAAGTAAGGTCTAGACCTTGCTATTATCACTATTATTACAGAGAGAAAACCTAACAAACCCCCTTGAGCAGCACTTGGTGACAGTGGGGAGGAAAAACTCCCTTTAACGGAAGAAACCTCCGACAGACCCTGGCTCTTGGTGGGCGGCCTTCTGCCTCGACCAGTTAGAGTGAGTGGATAGAAGAGAGAGAAAAGAAGAAAAGCAACAAGACACAGCAAACAACAACAAACAATCAAGCACTGAGCAGGTTAATGTGGCTGGTGACTGCTCATCATTAACTTAGAGCTCCAGAGCCAGGGCTACCTGCAGAAACAGGGAGAGAGAGGGGACACACAGGAATACATTTGACTATGGCTGCTGGTGTCTCTACCAATTACCAGAGTTCGATTCTCAGCAGGTGTGGCGCTGAGTGGGGAAAATCATTTTGAAAAGTGAACAAGCATGCGATGCACCGTGGATGCTTGTTTCAAGTTGTCTCTTGCAGACTGTTACCCAGCCATCTGGCTCCTCGGGAAGCACTGTGGGGCAGCTAGCTTGGGCTGAGCTACATCTAGGAGGTCGAGCTGCGCTTCCAGTTCGGCGAGCTTCACATCCAATGTTACTAGCATCTGACATTTATTGCAAGTACCATTATTGCTACAGGAGTCAGAGGAATAACTGAACATGCGACACTCCAAGCATAAGGAAGAAGGAGAGGAAGAGGGGGAAGCCATTGCTCTCAACTAAGCTTCTAAGCTAGCTGGCCTAAAGTAGCAAGTTAAATTTGCAAATTAGCAAGATATTCAGCAACACAGGTTCTTAAGTAGTGCAGGTGTATGTTGTGACTCGAAAAAATTAGCTGATGAACAGATAAACCTAGAAATTAGTGATCTTAATCTGTAAACAGTCTGGTAGCAAGCACAACAGGGTGCAGGCACAGTAAACAGGAAGTGAATACGCTAACCGCAGGAAGTGTGGCAGCTGACACATCAGAGATGTACACTCTGTTGTCGCGTTGTTGTTGTTGTCAGCTGGGTTGAAAAAATGACACTTGAACACACTGCACAGACTACAGCCAATGACTAATTGGCACATACATTCTGGGCTTGCATGACAGAAAAAAACTCCCCCTACCAGCCGGTGGCAGTATGTGTATTAGCCATTCAGAAAGTGAAGGAAGAAAAGCTAGACTACAGAAATATAAACTATAAACAAAACACCACATATTCCAAACAGGTGCTATTTATAGCTGCTAATAATTGAGAATATGACTGATAAGAAGTGTCAAATGCCTCTGCTGTTTTCTGCCCCTGGTCTTTAGGTTGTGGAAAAAGAAATGAGGTCATGGAGGTGATAAACAAGGATAAACTGTGCTAAATGGGTGAAATCATGCACATTACAGTGGCTGAATGAGCTTTCCTGAACCATTTTTTTATCATGCTTTGATTCACGAAGCTCAGCGTGGTCACCGACCAGGCCCGACCGCTGATCCAGATTCAACATGTCAAATCAGCTGAAATGCCACCAATGGAGGCTGACTAGTGCCAGTGGTGTTGGACTCACTGGGAAGATGAGCCCCAACAGACACTCACTGATGGCCTGACGAAGGCTAGTGGCCAACTGTTGGCTTGGTGTGTCTCTGCCCTTAATGTATAACTGACGATCTGGGCAGGCACTGGAAATATGAGCACTACCATTCACTTTATTAGATGTCAGTCTGCCATCAGAATGATTTTGAAGCTGTTATCTTAAGAAAAACGTTACATATTGTTACTTTAAAGCACAATAATGTAACAGTTCCTTACATAAAATAGAAATACTAATAATAATAAAAGTCTTCCTCAGCCAGATCGTTGATTTCGAACAAAAACACCACCACTGTGTTAAAACTGTGAATGCAGCCCTGGCATGACCTTTTCCTCACAAACACCCTGGAGTGGCAGCCTGACATGAGTTATGCACCCATTAGAATGATACAAATTAAAAGTGAGGAAGGGAAGGAAGGACTGAGATGCTAGAGAAAAGAGATCACTGTTGGGGTCAGAGAAAGGAGGGAGATAACAATAACATTTCCTCTCCAGCAGTGCCTCATAAATCTCTCTCTGCTCAAGCCATGCTGTGCTTGATGCCGCAGTCATCAAAAAACCCTCTCTTGTCCTCCCATCTCATCCCTCTCCTTTGGCTCACTTTGCTGTTTCTGTTGTCTGCCCTCAATTCTGTTATTCTCACATTTTATCAATTGATGTTGCTACATCAATTGATGATACAATTGATGTTACATAGCAGGTCACATCTGACAACCTTATTTTTCTCCTTAGCTCTTAATGATATAGTGTTTGAGTTACAAATTTATCCTTAAGTTGAATTAAACAAATAAACCCATGATGAACATTTTTAGGTTACTCTTGTGGATGTCTGGTCATTTGGTGAGCAGGAGATCACACCTCCCTGCTGGAATGTGATCTACACCGGGTGTCTGTCTGTGTGTGTGTGTGTGTGTGTGTGTGTGTGTGTGTGTTTTTGTGTGTGTGTGTGATGTTAATTTGTATGTTAAACTGGCCAGGTGGTCATCTCAGGATGTTGGGCCCCCGGTCTCTGCAGGACATCCCAAGATAAAGCAGAACTTGTAATATGTTAAGTGAGTCTGTGTGTGAGTGCAAAACAAGCCGACTTGTCTTTGTTAAAATGTGAATTGGATGTATTTGTCACGGAGAGGTGCAGACATCAAAGGCAGCTGGAGACGGTATGCAAGTTGTTAGATGTGAGACAACGGTATGAGTTTTATAGATGTGTATTGTATCACTTTGGTATAAAGGGACTGCCCCTTTACCAGTCAGGAAGAGAACTCTGCGCGACTGCAAAGCGGTGTACGACTTCTCTCCATGCTGCATGAAATAAAGAATTCTTCGAAGCTACTCCCGGTCTCCAGACATCTTTATTGGGTCCTGCCCGTTCCCACTACCACACTCTATTATACTGACTTCTAGCTATAGAAAGCCATGGAACAAAGTCAGGAAACTTGGAACTGTTAATATTGTCATTCATATTGTGAGATGTTTAGTGAGCTAAACATTGTTTCAGAGATTTTTCCACCCATGAACAAACAAGAGCTAAATATTCAGAGGGTTTTCATAATTTTTATCATGATAACCATTTTGTGCCCCCAGCATGGTTCATCCTCAGACTCACCCTGTAGTTCGAATGGGCTCTGTTGTTGATGAACCGACCCATAGGTATGTGTTCAGTGTGTCCGGGAGAGTACAGCCCCTCTGAGGGGCCGGTGGGCACATGGTGGAAGATGAACCAGAAACCTGTTTCCTGAGGGATCACATACACACACACAGACATATAACACAAAAGATGGTGTCAAGACACAGGTATTTAATGGCTGTAAATGAAGAGCAACAAACAACCTATGCACGTGTTGATTCATGTATAGATCTTATAGTTCATACATACACAGGTGTACATTCTCACACATAGCTTCAGTTTTACGTCTCTACAAGTCAGCCTGTTTGTTGCTCATTGTAGGTATGCAAATGAGAGAAGTTATTACATTGGCAAAGATAAATGAGACTCCATTTTGCCCAGTGTATCCTTGTGAAATCCCAGAAGTATGATCGTAATTGGCACTCTATCATAGTGAAAATGCCGGAGTGCCTCTATCTGTTGTCTGCTTGATTCTGAAGTTAATAGATGTATACAGCCATTAATCTGATCTGGCAATGTGGTAATGCAGTGGTTCTCAAAGTGTGGGGCGTGCCCCACTAGTGGGGAATAAAGACATGACAGGTGGGGCACAATGAGCGGAGAAAATTAGAAATGGGTCATTAATACAAGTAAATTAAAATAACATCAGTTCGGGGCCTGGGAGAAAAAAGTGGAACCATAATGCAACAATAACGGTTTACTGTCGGCATATTAATCGCCGCGCAACAATATAAGGAAACGTTCACAGAGAGGGCCAATAGTGTACGTAGTGGGCATAATAACGTAAATGGACAAATTTGTTACATGGACCACAAAAAAAGCAGGCGATTCAGCGCAAGCAGACAAAGAAACAACAGGCAGTAAGTCTTACCAACCAAAAAGCCAGCTGAAAAGAAAATATGATGAATATTGCGCTTGGATTCACGGTGGGAATGGTGGGGGCAGAGGAGAGACCCATGTGTGTCTTGTGCCTTAAACCGCTGGCAGCAGACAGCATGAGACCCAACAAATTAAGAAGACATTTAAAGACAACACACCCCAGTCACGTTAATAAGCCACTCGGCTGGCAGAATACCACCAGCAGGAAAATCGCATGGTAAAATCTGCATCAGTGAACAGCAAAGCACAAATGGCTTCCTTCAAAGTTGCATACAGAATTGCACAGTGCAAAAAATCCCACACAATTGCTGAGCAGCTCATTCTCCCTGCTGCTGTAGACATGGTGTCGATTATGCTGGATGAGACAAGAGCTGCAAAATTGAAAATTATCCCCCTGTCAAACAATACAGTTGCACTTATATTTTATAATTTTGAACATGGTGTTATTTGATATTTCAATACATTTGAAATTTAAAAATTGGCCGATTTCGTAATTTTTTTTGACAAGTGGGGCTTGAAAATTCGCCCACCCTCTGGGGAATGACAAAAAATGTTTGAGAACCACTGTGGTAATGAGACAGACCTCCATCTGGAGAGAGATGAGGGGCTGGGATGAACGGGGAAGCGGGTGGGGACGAGGGAAGAGAGTGAAGAGCCGGAGTGAGACGCTCACCTCTGAGCCTGCAGCAGCACAGCTGATGAGGTTGTTATTGGGGTTGGCGATCCAGAAAGTTGAAGTTGCACTGTAAAGAGGGATGGTGTTGGAAAGGAACAAGAGAAAAAGACTTGGTAATTGGATTTCACACCAACAGGCTGGTGCAGTGATGTAGTGCTAATACAGAAAGTGTTAACACTACCTCTCAAAACACAACTGGCATAACTGGGGAAGAGACGTTTCTGTAGTGACAACAGCACTATTGGTACGCCAGTAGATTTGGGAATATGTTTTCTTGATAATAAACCTAAATGGTTTTCATCACATGATGCAATGTCTCTAACACCACCAGGATGTGTATATTTCAGTGATTTTATGTGATGTTACAAATAGTTATAAGATTAATGCATTGTTAAAGCCGTAGCTAAAACTTAAGATAATAGAAAAACAAAATGCCAAACAATCAAACAAAAAATAGGGCTTCTGGCTTTTGATAGGTCAAGAGAATTCTAAAGACCAGAAGATCATTCATGTACTGTTGCTTGAGAAAAAATGGTTTGTCAAAATAAATCTTAATCCAAAGGTCCACTTAGCTTTTTCTTCATCATGAATGGAGCTGGTAGCCCAGTTGTCATGAAGTTGTGTCATCATGTTATTATGACAGCAGAGCCAATTCCAACTCCGTTTCTTGGTGAAGACCATGAGTTGTTCTGCTCATATTTTTACTGATTTACAAGCATATTGAAAACACATCAGCAAATCATTTATGATGGATGTGGAAACACATGCTTTGTGGCTATATTTATTTTAATAGATGGATCACAATATGCCCTATTCTCTTTACTTTCATAGAGATTCTCTGTCTCTCTCCTTATTTATATCCACTGGATATCCATGGTAAAATCCTGCTGGCAACTTCAAGAACCTGTAATATCCATTACACCATGTAATATTAAAGTATGGATGCTTTATGACAGATGGGTACAGTGTGCTAAGAGGTCACCCATTCATCCACTAAAGATGCCTACAGAACATACACTATTTTCTGTTCCTGGTTTGCTTCTGAATTTTGTGGCAAAATTGCTATTGATATTGAAGTTTTAAATTAAGGAGTGAACCTGAAAACATCCAGTATTTCACATGAATTGTGTTGTACATGTCTGGAAAGTAATGGTGTTTTCGGCTGCAAAACTTGAAATACCTGAAGATTCTTCTGGAAGTGCATCTGTGTATTCCTCCCTGTCAGGTTTGCCCGGCTGCACTTGCCTCTCTCACCCCCTCACTCTGCCTCTCTCTTCTAGCCCCTGATTGCTCATCATTTACACCTGCTCCTCACTCCTTGATTATCACCAGCTGCACTTCATTAGTTTGTCCTTTACTTATACCCGGCTCACCTATCACTCCCTTGCCAGTTCGTTCACGTTCTCAGGCCCTCTCTTTGTCACTCTATTCGGATTATTATTCGTTTGTTGTTTTTTCTCCAGTATTCTAGTCCCCGTATTATTTTTGTTTCCTGGTTTTTCTCGTTATGCTTCTTCGTTTATAGTCAGCTCTTTTTCCCTGCACGGACCGCTATTTCCTCCTGATATTTTCACATTTCAACCCTTCCAGACAGGTCGATGCACAGTCACTAGTTGTCTCCATCTCATCACCTCTCTGCCTGTGTTTCTTCAGTAGCCACCATCACCCACCGACCGGCCCAGGAATGACCCCGCGACGCAGCTCGGCCCACCTCATTCCTACTCCTCATTTCTCTACTCCTGTTGCTGGTTGACACCCGGTTCCCCCCTTCATAATCATCTACTGACTTGTTGTTTATCACCATATTGCACTGTATTATAATAAATCACTGCTTGCACTGAAGTCGGCTACCTGGGTCCGCCTCTTTCGCTCATTCACTTCTGTGTGCGAGCGTTCCCTAACAATCCCAGAAGAAAGCCTATGTGTGAGGAAGTAACAGTCTGATGCCCGTCACACCTGGCCAATAAAGCTGATTCTGATTCTGATGTTCAACTCAACCATAACTCCTCTGACTGGACTGGAGATAAAGATAATACAATGACCTAGTACAGTCAGTTAGTTGTATTCTATTTCTGTGTCATGCCAGATTTTCATCTGGCCCATCCCACATGGGATTACAAGACGCCATACCCTTTACAAGAAGTATAAGTACAGTGACACATATACAGAAGACAAAAGCAAGAGAGGAGAAAGGTTACAAAATTCAGAATCAGCTTTGTTATTTTTGCTCGTACACGGGTAAGTGAGTGAGCAAAAGGAAAGGTGGACCCAGATAGCTGACTTCAGTGCAAGCAGTGATTTATTATATACAGTGTAGTGAATGGTAAGAAAACAGGAGTAGATGAACTGAATAAACCGAGTGTTGATCAGCAGCAGATAACAGTACAGTGATGAGATGAAAAGAGTAGGCCGAGATGTGTCGCTGAGGTCACTCCTGAATTGGTCGGTGGAGAACGGTGGTTACTGAGGAGATAGATAACAGAGGAGTGAACAGATGGAAACTGGTGACTGCATCGACCTGACTGGTGGAGACTGGAAGGGTTGAGTTGGAGCCAAGGTCCGGAGGAGTAATCCGTGGAGGAAGAAAACCACAGAGCAGCAACAGGTAGTCAATATATATACATATATAAAACAACAAAGGAAAAAAAACAAGTTAAATAGGGACTGATCAAAGTATAATAGAAATCACAACAGAGAGGGTCTGGGAACAAGAACAAACCGGCAAGGGAGTGGTAGGTGAGCTGGGTATAAGTAAGGGGAGGAACTAATGAAGTGCAGCTGGTGATAATCAAGGGGTGTGGAGCAGGTGTGCATTGAGGTGTAATCAGAGGCTGAAAAGAGAAAGGAAGTGAGGGAGGTGAGAGAGGCAGGCGCACCCGGGCAAACCTGACATTAGGTGCGTTGAACACACAAGGAATTTGACTTGGGTATAGCGGCTCTCATAAGACTCATAAGACGAGTAGGTAAGTAAACAAGATAAGACAGAAAAGAAAACGGAAAAATGTCCATTAGGGAAATAAAAATAAAGTACTTATAAATATAGAAATATATGTACACACTGTTTAGTTTTCCAAATAGATACAGTATATTTACAAGGTATTGCACAGAGGTTTGTTGTGGGTTAAGTGTTCATCAGAGTGATGGTCCCACTAAGTGCAAACTGTTTACAAATCATCTTGTTAAATTGTTTTTTTCTCCTTCCAAGTACTGTATTTCCTTTGTAACAGTTATCCCAGTTTCCAGATTGATATAATCTTTATATTTATTGATTTATTCATTCATACAAAAAGAACTCCACATGCGACGTGCTCTCAGAATTGTTACAGTAAGAAAAAAAAGTGTAACTGGCTGCTTCAGTCATTTGAAATGACTGATTTGTACTCATCAAATTGTGGCAAAGAAAGGAATTAGCTCAGGGTAATCAAGGTCTCAGCCAGCTCTCATCAAGTTTCAGTCATCTTCAAACTCCTTGATATGTTTTTTGTGCGGGGGATGAGAGGGTGTACAGTCAAACACAAAGAGAATCGGTGCTATTTGATGGGCAATATTCCATGAGTTGCCAGTGATGCATTAGAAAAGCAAAAAATTATTTTTTAAAATTTTACTTTATTAATCCCTGTGGGGAAATTTCTTATTGATGGCAGTGCTGTCAGTCACTACCTGGTCAACAGGGGCAACTAGGGGTTTAGTGTCTTGCCCAAGGACACATCAACATGTCTACTGGGGAGACTGGGAACTGGCGTCAGATGCAAATGATCTCCTTGAGCTTTCTCTGGTCCTCCACTCACTTTTGGTTGATGGGATCTGATGTCTCACAGGGTGCTGGTCTGTTCTGAGTGTTCACAAACAGTTGATATTGTCCATTCAGTGCTCAATCTCTCTGTTGTCCAGGGTCCTGGTGTCAGATTGATGTTTGTAATGATGCCATACACTACTCCAGGTTTTGCCTAACATTAGGGACTTTTACATTCCAAAGTACTAGCAGCATCCTAGTTAGCAGCTTTGTAGGATGGTTAATTCTTTATGTTCTCTACTGTTTGTGTAGTGGTTTAAGTAACATGTTAATATTGATTATATAATAGAATAGTGTTTATGGGTTCATTAAGTTCATGTGAGCTGAACAATGAGCTTATATAAGTTAGCCAAGATGTTTCCTGTTTTTGAGTACATCTCAGGGTGTTGTCTCCCAAAACTGGAGACAGGAAGCTAAGTTCAGAAATTGACGTAACAGCCTAAGAAAAGCTGCGGATAAAAGGCTAGGATAGCAGGGTTAGGAGAGGATGAGAATGCTACCGTGAAAAGTGAGCTTAGACCCAGCCGGGGAACGCTGACTGACTGTGGGTTGACAGACTGACTGGACTGACATGGCGCGTCTGACAATCTTCTTATTTAATACTTTATCTATCCCACTGCAGGTGGAGTGATCCTGGTCTCTGTTTCCCTAACTACCAGATTACCTGTTTAACTACGACTTTGTTCAGAATAATTGTAATATTAAATGATTACTTAAATTGGGATGATTTGTCTGAATTAATTTAGTCTGTATCACATTCTAGCCACGACAAACCTTGGCATTGTCTCTGCAGGTTGAAGCCTAAGGTGGGAGAATTTTACATTTAATCTCCCATCTTGACTGTCCTCCAAGAATTTGTGTGAAGGGGAACCAAATAACTTGATTTATTCTGACAGGTGGTGGAAGAATGCTGCAATCACTAACACTAACACCATTACTAACACTGATATAAATAACTTGCTTTAAAGGTTTACAGGATACATTAATGTTGTTGATTAATGTTGTTTTTACATATCTGATGTTTATGTGATTGTGAAACAGCCTATCAGGATTGACAGAGAAAAAGGTATAAGTTGTCAGACAACGGATTGAACAGCATGAAATTATGAGTTATAAAGGTGTCTGCATCTGATTAAATTTTATGATGAGGCTGTGTAGCAGAGGTCTGTCCTATTTGTGGATTCCCACTTAAAGCACTTTCTGTATGTGAATAAGTGTGGACTTTAATATGTCTTTGAATATGTGTATATTGTAGTAGCTAAAAATAAACAAGG